CAAAGAAACATACGACAAATAAAATGGAGAATTAGGAGAGAGAAAAGCGGGAAAATCCGAAGAGGTAGACGAACACAGGCAAATATAAAAAGATGGAAGTTGTTGCTATTTAATATCACTGGAAATTAATCAGAATCTTTGGTTTTCTATCTTTTAGTAATCCCGAGTTCCCAATACTCTCCCGGTTTCGTGTCAGTGAGATCAACCCCAGAACTTAACCAGACTCTTGCTAGAATCCAATTCCTGGGACATCAGATAGAGAAGTTGAGATATAGAATTAGATAGGTTAATAGTTTAATAGTCCATCATGCTGTTATTAGTTTATAAATGGACGGTTGGTGTCAAAGGAAGAAAGAATCAAACAAAAAAGAAACAAGACAGAAAGGCTATCATAAACAGGGAAAATATAGGGAAAGAAATTAGGGAGTGGAGGAAAATTGAAGAAGAAGAAGAAGAAGAAGAAGAAGAAGAAGAAGAAGAAGAAGAAGAAGGGAGATGCAGAAGAAAAAGTTTGAGCAGAGGTGAAAGAAGGAGAAGAAGAAGAAAAAGAGTATAAAATAACGTAATAAATCTATATAGAGTAGAATTAGAAGAAAAGGCTAAGGCTGTGAGAGAGAGGAACGAATGAAAAAGAAAGAAAGGATGAAAGGAAAAGAGTACGAAGAGGGTTAAAGAAATAAAGAATAAAAGAGGCACAAGCAATTACTTTTAAAGAAATATAATGAAGAAAGACAAAAGAAAGATGATAAACGCCCTACAAGATATATATATATATATATATATATAGAGAGAGAGAGAGAGAGAGAGAGAGAGAGAGAGAGAGAGAGAGAGAGAGAGAGAAAGATGCACGTGGCCGAGTGGTTAGACCATGAGTGACCATGAGACCCGGGTTCGAATCTCAGCATGGTCGATTAGTCAGGAAGGAGACTTCCTGATGTTATCGGACTGGAGGGGTCGTTCCCAGCTGTCGAATTTACTGTATTTGAACCGAACTTGCTAACCGAACGCGCCTCTGTGACCAAATCGGTAAAGGCACGTCAAGCTAAATGACGGTTCCGTATAGGATACAGGTTCGAATCCTGTCGGGCGACGAATATTTTCTGTGAAAATTTCTCGGACATTCAGGCCGGTAAATATTGTTTAATACTGTTTATTATAAACAGAGCATTTACTTAAATATTTGTATCTATAAAAAAAAAAAGAATGTATAAACATAAAATGTCTTTATATATGCGCGGTACATATTGGAAACCGCTCATTATCAGTGATAGAGCTAACATATTCAGTCGTATGGATATGAGTTTTATAACCCTGGATTTCAAGCTTTTGCGATCATCAGACATTTCTATCCCCTTCCACAGTTAATCATTTCTCTGATGACAGCAAAAACGTAACTCAGGGTTACAAATTCATATCCATACGACTGAATGAATAATATATATATATATATATATATATATATATATATATAATGAAATAGACAAAGTCCGACAATTATTTTTAAGACATTTTTATGTTTATACATTTTTTTATAAATACAAATATTTCAGTAATTTTCCTGTTTATAATAAAGTATTAAACAACATTTACCGGCCTGAATGTCCGAGAAATTTTTACAGAAAATATTCGTCCCCTGACAGGATTCGAACCTGTATCCTATACTGAAGCGTCCTTTAGTTTGACGTGCCTTAACCGATTTGGCTACAGAGAAGCGTTCGATTAGTAAGGTCGAATTTACTGTCTTTAAACTTCAATCTTCCATGAATCTCTCACGTACATTCATATCTGCTCAAAGCGCATCCAAATGTAAACAAATGACGTCACACATTATGAATATATATATATATATATGTGTGTGTGTGTATTGTATATATATTTGTGTGTGTGTGTGTCCGCGTAAGGGTTGCGGTATGTAGATTTGGGATTGTAGCAAGTTAAGAGTTTAAGACACTGGATTGTGTTGCGTGATGACTTTAGCGATAAATACTAAATGTTGTCAAACTTTGTCGACTATCACCGTCTTCATCACTATCGCCCCCTACTGCCGACCTTTTCGCCACCGCAACAACTCTTTAGCGCCACCGCTATCACCGCCAGAAACTGTTCTTCTTGGTCTTACGCTTCCATCTTGATCTCAATTAATTGAGAAACATTAGCCTCCCTTCTTCGTCATGTCGCATTCACTTCGCCCCACACCATCCGATTACTATGACCCGCCACCTCCTCTCGGCCCTGTGTAATGGGAATATTTCCCACCCTGCCAGATCTGGGCACTGCAGATCATTTCCTAAACTCGTATATCATGATAACCACAGCGTGATCCGATCCAAATGAGAATTATCAATATTCATCAAAATTTAGAGGTCAAGATGGCCGCAGTTATGTGCCCCTGATTCTTGACATTGTACAATTCCTTCTCTTTTACAACCAATTCCCCCATGTCATCTCTTTCTTCATTTCCCAATTCCCCGCCAAATCCGTCTCTCTATTCTTTTCTTATTTCCCATTCTTTATCTCTATTCCTCTCTCTCTGTCCTCTTTCATTGCTGATAGAGTCGGATTGCAACTCTCTCTTCACTGGTCGTGACGATGTCCGTCAGATTTTCATTGTTAATCTCTTTTTAGACTATCACTATTACGCCATTTCCTTTATTCCTTCTCATCACACTACCGATCTCTTTCTTATTATTTATGGTGCATCATTTAATTCTTATCCCCCCTCCCACTCTCTCTGTTTGTCTGTCTTTCCATGACGTTATTTATTTTTGTCCCCCTCCACAGTTAATCGTTTTATGATATCAGTCTTTTTGCCCCTCTCTTTAAAGAGTAGCATTCAATTTTTCTCACATATTTTCGTAATGTAACCCCTCTCTCATTATATATAATATCGTACGTCACCCTCTCTTTTTTTCTGTTATCTCATTTTCTGTCTATCTCTCTTTATATAAATTCTATTTTCCTCTCTCTCTCTCTCTCTTATTGTGCTCCTCTTCTCGTGTTATTTTATCGCTACACACTGTCTTTTCTACGATTCTGTCTTCCCTCTCTCTTTCCCTGTTAAGCTGTCCTTTTCTGCTCTAAAATTCCATTTTTCTGAGCTGCTATCCTACTTTCTTTTGCACGTTATTATTTTGTTGTCCACCGACAGACAAATTGTACATATGGGAACTAGTTAGGACCACATAAAGACTATGAGGTATTATGGTGACTGTAGTAAGAATGGTAAGTAAGAATGTGTTGTTTTGGTGTAAGGAATACAGTAATTGTGGTTAGCCAAATTTAAGATGAGACAGATTGAATACCAGCCTTCTTCTATTCCCCATTTTGGCCTTGTGCCACATTTTTGTATTTTCCAAAATAAATATTACTTTCTTTTGCTCGTCAGGCAACTTTCTCACCACTCCCTCTATTTCATTTTGTTTTCTCCCCTCTTTCCCACTCTCTTTATCAGGACGCTCCACACATTCTATTTTATGTTTTGTTGCTTCTCTCTCTCTCTCTCTCTCTTTCCATCATTGATTTCCTTATCCCCCTTTTCTTCTGCCACCTCTCTACCCCATCTTCCCCTTAATAATTTTGCTGCCGCATTGTTATAGCATTGTTGTCTGGCTGTGCTGTCTCGTTTTTTGGGGGTGGGGGGGATTGTCATTCACTGGAAATAAATGTTTATAAAAACGCTGACGTCGATTTCTCATGGGCGCCGCCATTTTGTTTTTGATCAGATACTCTGAAGTACAGAGGAAACTGAACAACACCCTCGACACAAAGTATGATAAAAATACTTCTCCCAGCAGATCGTACTGTACGCTACTATATGTCTATGCTTCTTATTAATAGCACAAAGCGCTAGTTAGCTTATAGCAGAAACGCTAGGCAGGATATGCATAGAACGTAATATATACGTCGACAGCAGGCAATGCAAGTTTCAAAAAGACGTATAAGTAAGTACGTACACAGCAGCAGAAGTGTTAATTAAATACTGCCAGTTGAAATATTCCTTTACTTGCATCTGCTTCGTAATTGGAGTTATTGAATATTTTCCAGCGGCGCCAGTTATCGTTGACCGAGTCCAACTAAAAGCCAGGGTTTCAAATGATTAATTTTAAAACAAATAGATACTTCCTGTGATAAAATGTCCCTTTCTCAGTCTGGAAACTTGACCCCAGGGCTCTAGCCAAACCGAGGTATTTCCATTCTATAATGCTGCCTCACTTCGTTGTCGAAGAACGCTTCCGCTAATACAGTGGTTCCCAACCGATTTTGGACCATGTTCCACTTTGGTATTTCTAAAATTCTGTTGCCCCCACTGTAATATTTAATTCTTACATACTCAAAATTTTACTGCAATTCACGTGAAGGAAGCTTAAAAGGCCATTAACTTGGTCTCTAAACAAGCCTCCAAAGACCATGGCTTCCATGAAAGAGGAAAATTAAAGAACAACAAAAAGACAGTTAAATATATATATAGTTTCAAAACATATAACAGAGAACTGAAAGGTAGAAATATAAAATATTTGAACAAAAGCTTATTCTGTAATATACTTTGATCATTTTAATCATGAAATAATAATGGAAAATGTAATTTGAGCTCATTACATAAATGACTGTTAGTGAGACCCTTGCTCTAGTACGATGATTATGCCATTTATCATGCAGAACAGTTTTTTAGAGTAATGATTACGATCCCCACTGAGTTTTCCCACACCTATGACCTTGCACCAAAGCCAAACACCATCCACTCCTCCTTTGTCAACACCATTCTGGATAATCCACCATGGTTAAAGAGCCTAGTTTACTTTGCTAGTTAATCTATAACTTGGTTTGGAAGAGAAGAAATGGATTCATGCCTTTTCGAAGGGTATTTGTGCGAAAGTGAATGCAATAAATTCAACCGGAATTTAAACATGTCACACGGATTTCTCATTCCACGCCGCTAACCAGCATATCCAAAGACAAAGTAAACATTGTCAATAACCACAGATAGCACCCGCCTATACAAGCTTACATCACTTGGTATTCCCAATTTGTCACCCATCTAAATACTGATCAGGCTCGACGTTGCTTAACTTTGGTGATCGTACGAGAACCGGTGTTTCAACATGATATGGCCGTAAGCCAGAGAGAAACAGAAGGTTCTAATGACTTTGTGGGAATGAGTGGCTGATCGAGGACAGGCTCATGCTACAGAATTAAACATTGCTTCGAGCTACAAAGGGTAGAAAGTTGTGGAGAGCCATGACCAGCCACGTCCTGAAGGTGCATAAAGGAAAAAATACCGTTAATTTTTCATGAATGGTTCTTCTACTGACGATTTAAAAACTTATGGGGTTTACTGCAATTTTTTTCATCTTGGTTTTAATCTATTTATAATTTCGCCTCGTCTTTTGCTGATCTCTAGTTTTTAACTCATAAATTCATCTTTGCTGATCCGACCAACCTTCTTCTACGTGTCGTGTCCGTTCAGCATGTTGACGATCATGGCTCTCCACAATTTCCTTTACTTCATAGCTCTTAGTAAATTTTATCTTCTTGCTATCTCTCCGAAACCCGTTTCTGCCAAGCATTTACACAATATCGTTAGGTAGGTTATTCGCTGCTTGCCTTCAACATGTCCTGTGAGTATCATGTTTTCTAAGCCTTCTCTCCTCATAGAAATTTCAGCTATTTCTTCCTGATTCTAATTATAAGTCTCCTTTTCGCTTCCCTTTCTCTAAATCTTCCACGTTGCTCGCATGTTCAGTCTATGTTCTCGGCATCATCCTATAAAACCACATTTAATATTACATAACAGTTCTGTGCGCTTTTCTTTGTTTCTGTTTCTTCAAGTCCCTTCTTCATCTGCGAGGAGATTTTCCAGCATTCACTGTCATATAGGGGGACTGATATTACATAACAGTTCAGCACTCTTTTCTTTGTTTCTGTTGCTTTAAGTCTCTACTGGATCTGTGAGGAGATTGTCTAGTATTCACTGCCATATAGGAGTATTGATATTACATAATAGTTCAGTACTCTTTTCTTTGTTTTTATTGCTTCAAGTATCTTTTTCATCTTTGAGGAGATTTTCCAGCATCCACTGCCATACAGGAGGACTGATATTACATAATAGTTCAATACACTTGTCAATATTTATGACGAACTTTCTTTGTTTCTTAATGCTTTGCTTAGACTTTGAAAGACACCTTTCGCTATCCCAAAATGCCTTCGAATTTCGGTGTCGCACCTTCCGTCCTCTGTTAAAACACTTCCCAGATATTTAAATTTTGATTTTGTCCTCTCCAATTTGCATGTTAGGCTGTTCTTTTTGCTGATATCCATATATTTCGTCTTTTTGCAATTGATTTTTAGCCTTATCTTCTCTTTTTCTTTCACTACTTTTGCAGGATTTCTTGTGCTTTCCTTTCGCTGCCTGCTATCAACACCGTACCATCTGAATATCTTATGCTGTTAACAGTGCGGCCGCCAATAATGAAATCTGGTAGAACTTCGAATTCTCTCAAAATCACCTTACAACATAGATTGAAGAAGTCCGGTGAGAAGACACATCCTTGTCTTACACACTTTTCATTAACATTCTACGTCCTTTTATCGAGTCTTTGTCACGACAACTTCCAGAATATCGAAAATCAAGACGGTCTATTTCCTGTTTTGCATTTTCTAACTTTTCGCATTGATAAAGTGTCTTAACATACCATGTATCCATTGAGTTCTTTTCTTTGTTGCGGACAGACGCTAGATGACGGGAAGGAGATACCTGTCGCCCATGTTTTAACTAATCGGGCGAGAAGTCAGTTCCAAATAACTGACTTCTTTTAAGTTTTTACGGAATCGTGCACTGCCACGATTGTTTTGTGGAGCGACAGTGGTATGGTTTTCCATTGCCTTCTCCACGATGTTATTATCGAGACACTAGCTAGTCACTAATCCTCCGAAGTTTGCGTGCCCTTAAGTAAACTTATTTTTCTTACTACTGGTTTACTAACCATTTTGCTCACTCAGCGAGGCAGAATAATCGATTTAGTCGTCGAAAAAAACGACATTCGCACCACTCGATTCTACGCCTGTTGTTGGCTCTGTCACATTATTTGCAGGATTAGTCTTCGGATTTATATACGTGTGCGAAATTCTCGCCCATGAGTGATAGAAGCAAAGAGTCAAGACCTTTGTTTATTTCCGGGACTCATCGGAAGTCAGTGGATGAGCCCGACAGATAAAGACATGGCCGTTTAATGAAGTAATGTGATGTAATAAAGTAGATGTTATTGAGTTTTGGGATGTTGTTTAGAAAATCGGCAAATTCTACGACTGCTCTGGTAAGCACAGACGCTAAGTACGCCGCTGGTTCCGAGTTTTTGTCTGGCTTTGGTCATTATCAAGAAAGGAAGATATTAACCGTGGTCCTCAGCCTTTTCTACCCGATGTACCTTTTCACAATAAGTCGAAATATCAATCCGACTTTCCAAATAATATGCATATAATATTGAAAATCTTCATTCATTTTCATATTAGTACATATACATCTATTTTTATAGGGAATAATACAAATTTAATAGCAATAGAAAATGCTGACTGAGTTTTAAACTTGAATACATCTACAGTAAGTTGCATTAATTTATAACTAATTTTTAAATAAATAAACTGAAGCCTACTTCAAGAAACAAAAAGTTCTTTAGAATGCCAGGGTATTGTAATTCAACAGTTCAGTTATGTGCCATGCGCGATACACACATGGAACATAAACATGACTGACGAGGCAGTAGGTTGCCATTTCTTTCTGCGGTAGACCAGTTGCTATCCAAGGCTATCTATAGCCGGTCTGTCCCGCTATTTATCCATAGCTGGGTGGAGAAGAATAGGATTCATACATTTCCCAATGGTATTAGCACGTAAGTGAATATAATGGATTCGACTGGAATTCGAACTCGGCTCTCCTTAATCCGAGCCGCTATCCATTATTCCACCGTACCTCCTCCTGGAAACTTAACAAGAACTAATACGAAATGTAGACAGTTCTTATATATTGGGTTGTCAGGAAAGTTCTTGCCGATTTTTAGCCGTTCATGTTCCGTCACGTTAGAACACGTCAAATTTATCGACAGATATAATCTGCTGACATTTCAGATTAGATCACACTTCAAACTATGTTTTAAGAAAGAAAACTTAAAATTACTTAATTCGTGTCAATTTTCCATCCCTATGAAAATGGAAGATTATAATGTGCATTTTAGACAATTGATGATTTATTTTTTACCGTAAAGGCAAATATGCCTCGCAAGCACCAACAAAAAAAAAAGAAAAAAAAAGATATGTACTGTGTACGGTGAAAATGCTTTAATTGACAGAAGTGTACGGAAGTGGTTCGCTAAGTTCAAATTTGGTGATTGCAGCCTTGTTGATGAAGAACGCTCAAACAGAACCCCCGCCACCACCACCACTACAGATGATAACCAAATCAAGATACTGATTGAGAATAACCCGCATTACACAACGCGGGAATTGGCAGAAATACTAAATTTATCAAACACCACTATCCAAGAGTACTTAGTGAAGACTGGGTACTCAAATCGGTACAGTGTTTAGGTACTACATGATTTGAGTGAAAAGAATCTTTTAGATTGCATTTCATCCATAATTTACTTTGTAAACGCAATGAAAATGCCGCCTTTTTTAAGCAAATTGTGACGAGTGATGAGAAATGGATCGTTTATAACAAAGTTCAGCGAAAACGATCCTGGGTAAGCAACATGAGCCAACTTTAACCAGATGAAAAGCAGGTCTTCATCCTAAGAAATTTATGCTGTGCATCATACGGTATTGAGTTCATTGCCGAGAAACCACCAAAATTCTGGGAAGATAGAATCTTTGAGTTCAAGGAAAAACGGAATTGTGCATCAAAATGGTTCATATTTAGTTGAATAAATATTTACTGGTATAATTTTGTTTTGTGTTTGCCCTTAAAAATCGGCATGAACTTTCTGGACAACCCAATATATATATATATATATATATATATATATATTGGGTTGTCCGGAAAGTTCATGCCGATGACCATGGAATATTAGTGTTTAAGCCTTTTTATTATATCCTTACTCTGTCCTGGACATTGAGTTCTACCTGGATTCTATCCTCTTGGAATTTTTATTCAAAACATATACATGTATGTGTATATACATTTTGCATATATTTACCACTAATTTATATATATATATATATATATATATATATATATATATATATATATATATATATATATATATATATATAGCCATCCACAGACTGTTTCGCTGTATCACAGCTCTTCAGTGTGGCTAGACGTGAGATTACTTCAAGCCAGGATCGAAACCAGACCGATCTAGCATCAGTCAGAGATCCTACCTCTAGGCTATCTTCGAATGGCAGAGGGAAAGGGAAATTTTAACGTGTTTCTATACGAAATAAAGCAGTAGCCGGGAGAGCTCAATTCATAGTTGAAGAGCAATGCGATAATAGCTACTGTTTTTAAAACAACCCCTTTCTCCAGAGAGCTCAACCGGATTTCCGGATATATATATATATATATATATATATATATATATGCATTTTCGGCTGACATGAAGTGTAAAAATGATATTGAATCCGTTGCTAAGTCTGGTCTGCAGTTAACAATGTTAGTTCACTGTGTCGTGTTAGACAATTTTTCTCTCCTGAATCTTACATATTTATAAGTCTACTATTCCTTTATACATTGAATATTGCTGCTACATGTGGTCCGGTGCTCCTTCTATATATGTAGAGATTCTTGAAAAAATCCAAAGAAGAATTAGTAATATTATTGGTGTTTGCCTGACATCTCGGCTTCACTCACTTTCTCATCGCTGTAATGTAGATTCTCTGTGCCTTTTCTATAAATACTTTCATGATAATTGTTTGGATGTGCTCTTCGCTATGGAACCTAAACTTCAAGTGCAGTACTAGATTGGCGACAAGGTATTGTCAGTTTACAGTTGAATTTGCTAGATGTGGCCATAAGTTCTATGCTAACATTTTCTTTTCTCGCACTTCTCACTTGTGGAACTTTCTTCCGGATCTCTGCTTTCCAGACAACTTTGATCTTTAAAAATTTAAATGCAGTGTCAAT